AGCGGCGGCAGGCGGGTGGCGGCGTAGGCGGCAGCTGGGAGCGACGCCATCCCGGCCCCAACCCGCTGGATCCCCAAAACCCCAGCCCCGACGCCTACTGCAACCTGGTCATCCTCGCTGTGGCCAACAGGGTGAGCGCGAGGCAGTGTTGGCACTACCATACCCTGACAGTCAAAATCGCACTAAACACAACACCCACAAGTGAAGTACCCACTCAAGATAGGCATGGGACACCACTAACACTTAATCCCCACAGCAGCCCCTAGGGCAAATACACCTGTGCCCATTTCTTAGGGAAAGATGCAGGCGCAAAGTTTAGGTCCTGTGGAAAGCAGATGACTTCAAGATTCGAAAGCAGAAAGTTCAAAGCCTTACTCTTGGTAACTAAGGTAGCCACCCAAAGCAGAAGCTTTGCCATCATTCTTGCCTGCCCTGCCTGTCACCTCTCTATCCCTATTCACTCTTGTTCTCACACACTTGAATATACGTGTGTGTGAGTGTGCGTGTGTGTGTGTGGGGGGGTTGTTTTTCAAGACAGGGCTTCTCTGTGTAGCCCTGGCTGTCTCGGAACTCGCTCTGTATCTCTGTATACCAGGCTGGCCTCGAACTCAGAAACTGTCCTGCCTCTGCCTCCTGAGGCCTTCACCACCACTGCTTGGCTGACTTCATAGTGTTTATTGAGTCCAGCTGTGTGCTCCACACTGGGCTAGACGTTGTGTGTAAGGAGGTGAGCAAGCCATTGGGTGTTCTCTCTTAAGGAGTACCCAGTCTAGCAGGTGCTTTCAAGTCCTGAGCCTTCCAAACATTTCCTCTGCCTCAGGGCCCTGGGCCCTCTCTGAACAATGAGTGTGCCTGTCTGCAGGGAGAGGTGGCCTGTCCCTGGAGCAGCACAGTGGCTCAGGTCCCCACGCTGAGTTCTCACTTGGCATCTGGCTCTCCTTTTCCCCGCACTCCTACCCTGAGCTCTTTCTTGGAAGCTGGTACCTCCTTTTCTCTCCAGCCTCTTAAAGTGGGGGTTGTCCACATGCTATCCTCAATCTGCTCCCCCTTATCCACACTTGTTTCTAGGTGAGTTAGACTCTGCTGCCTTCTAAAACCTGAAGAATACCCTGAAATTTGTCTCTAACCAGATCTCCACTCAGCCTGTCCTTTCCAGGATCTGCTTGTCATTGCAGAATGAATTTGACCCACACTGAGTTCCCAGTCTCCTCCCAGACCTGAAAGCACCTTCGTCTCCACATTTCATCAAATGGTAGCTCCATCCTTGGTGACTTGGGCTGAAACCTTGCAGGGGGCCTTGGTCTGTCTTTCTGTCTCTGCCTCTGTCTCTATCTCTGTCTTACACACACACACACACTCATACACACTCAATTTACTCTGTCAATAAATCCCACTGGCCTTATTTTTAAATATATGCAAATCCTATGCGCCACACTGTCCATACCCAGCTTCATCTTCACTTGCAGGGATAATGATGTCATGCTCCACTCCTTTGGCTCAGCCCTTTCTCACATTCTGTACTCTACTGCCACCTCCCACACAACTTCATCCTGGAGACTTGACTAGGGTGATGAGGACATGAAGAAGGACAGACACACAGACACATATACAGTAAAGCTAGGATCAGATGAGTCATGCTGGCACTCTGATAGGAAGTGAGTAGCCTGTGTGATAGGGAAGGGAGGAAGAGACCCTGTTTCAACAGGAAAACTTAGTTTGTGCTGTTTAAAATGAAATAAGGAGAAGAAACGGTCAGTAGAACCAAGGGCCTTCAAATTGGTTCCCAGACAGGCAGCCATGCGCCTTAGCTGTCCTCCTCTACCGTGTGGGCTTTAAGGCCTCAGTCCTGACCTGGTGGTGGAATGAATAAGTAAATGAGTTGCTTTCCAGGGGCCTGAGCTTCTGGCCTCCTGTCTGAGGCACAGCAGTCCCAAGCACAGCAATCAGAGCTAAAACTCCTGGTGCCAGCATTAACTATAAAATGGGGTGCCTATCTAACCTGTTTACTCAAGGGTCATGGTAAGTTTCAGCCTTGGTATTACTATCTGTACCTGCTATGGTCATTGATACCCATTCTGAATTACACTTTAGTTTTTGTCTTAGGCTTTTTTAGAGGCAGTATACTCATAAGTATGATCTTTTTCAATCATGAGACTACTATTATTGCATTGCTTCCATTATTGCATTGGGTACCAAGCAGCCCAGAGCTGTGTATTGTGTCCGGTAATAGTTAACAGCACTGAGCCTTTGATTCTTTGAAGTGTCCCATCTCCTCCCGGGACTTCAGCTGCTGCCTCTGTACAGTAAATTAAACAAACCCTATGTTAGATAAATTTCATGATAGGCCATGAATCCCCTGGAAATCTGAAATGTACCTTAATGGTAGAGGGGTCAGAGTTGCCTCTGAGTTCCACAGAAGGGTCATAAGAACAAGAGAGGAGCCATGTAATTTTGAGGGGAAATATCTTGTATTGACTTAAGGGAGTCTGGGGGCAGGGTGTCTCAGTGCTGGTTCACACTGCCTCTGGGGAAGCAGGGCTGCCCTGATGGTGGGTAAGAGCTGAGCTCTCTTCTTCCCCTGGACCAGGATGCTGCTGAGGAGTCCTGTGCACTCATCTGTCAAGTCTTCCAGATCATCTATGGGGACCAGAGCATCGAGTGTGTAGACCGGGCCGGCTACCACTACAGACCCACGCCTAAGCGGCCATGGCTCTCCAGCTGCAGTGAGTATCCAAACTCACACAAAGCACCGGAAAAGGCTGAGTGTCCTGAGTCAGGGCTGATAAAGGCTGTTAGGGGTTTTGAGCCGTGCCCCTGGTCTAGGGGTCCACTTAAAAGAATGCCCATCTTCATGATGACCTCTTAAGAGATGATCAGGTTGTTGTCACGTCTGGGATGAGTTTGAACTTGGGCACCTGAAACTTCTCACTTGTTTTGGGTGTCCCTGCTTTGCAGAAAGTTCAGCTCACGCATTGTGAGCTGAGCCATCTCACTCCATGAGGCTCCTAGATTGTCATGTCTGAATATCCATGTATGCAATCAAGGACTGGAACAAAAGTGAGACTAACAGGGGCATTCATTGAGTGCCAGTGATGTGCCAAGCACAACAGCAAGGTGCCAAGTCTTCTTGAATCTTCATAGCAACCTACTTGCCTCATTCACCTAGCACAGGACTGGGCATACCGCAGAGATAGGCAGGTAGTCTTTGGATAAATGAAAACCACTCAGAGCCTGGGCTGGTGAGATTGAGCCATCGCTCAATGGGGAAAGGTGCCTGCTGCCAAGCCTGACAACCTGAGTTCAATCCTCAGGACTACAGGCTGGAAGGAGAAACTGAGTCCCAAATGTTGTCCTCTGATTTCCTCATGGATACCATGGCATATACAAACTCAAGTCCAATGATATATGCACAAAATATATAATTTTGTGTAATTATATTACTAATTATAATTAATATATAATATTAATATAATAATTATAATATAATTATTGTAATTATATTACTAATATTATTTTATTAAAAAATAAAAAACTTCTCAGAGCTAGACATAATGGCATATGCCAATAGTCCTCAGCTCTTGGTAAAATAAGGAGCAGAGTTTAAGGTCAACTTGAGCTACAATGAAGAGACCTTGTCTCAAAAAAAGAGAAAGATCTAGGTATGGTGGTGGTACACATCTTTAATCTCAGCACTTGGGAGGCAGAGGCGGGCAGACATCGATGCATTCAAGGCCAGCCTGGTCTACATAGCAAGTTCCAGGCTAGCTAGGACTACATAGTGAGACCCTGTCTCAAAAGGGAAAGGGGTGAGGAGCCTTTCTGAGGCCCTGTGGATCCAGTTTTACAATAAAAAAAAACACATTGACTGTCAGAGTAGTCAATAAATTTTCATAGGTCACACAGTTGGTAAGTCAAAGCTAGAATCTAAACCTAATCTGTCTAGTTCCAGAGCTTCTATCTGCAACAGCCTCTCTGTGGGCTATCCTCGAGGCCACTGAGTGAATCTCCTCTCCACGGCCTGCTATAGGGTGGTCTCTGTCTGCGCAGCTCCAGAAGCTGGGGCACTGGCCTTCTGAAGACCCTCCTACCTGCAGCTGTGCCTGCTGGGAAGCTGTGCTAACTCATCAGATCCCATGTGGATGAATGAGAGCACTTATCTGGTAGTCGACAGATTCATTCATTCAACAGATATTTACCAAGCCCTTACTGTCTCGGGCCCAGTTGTAATCTGCAAGATGTAGTAATGGTGGGCAAACTGAGGCATGGCCCTGCCCTTCTGTACCTTGCATGGGATCGTCACAGAGATAAATGTCTAACCACAGAGAGTGTTATGAGAACCTGGAATGAGGAACTGGCCTCTGAGAAGGCAGGGTGACCAAGTGACCCCGAGTGAGCTGGGGTGCAAGGGTCATGCGTGGGCAGATGAGGAGCAGACTGAGGAGGAGGCACAGTCTCCACAAATAATGCTACTTTCCTTTCAGGCTCCCAAGCCAGCTCCCCCTTGCAGAATCGTCCTGACTCACCTAAACATACACTTGCCAACACTTCCTCATTGGCTCTCATCTGCTGCTCCCCATATCCCAGCAAACAGGCAGATGCTATGAGGATTAGGGAGGTCAGTTGCCCAAGGTTGACTCTGTGTTGGGACTGGACTGGAGCTAGATCCCAGGGTACCACTAAGGTTGGTGCTTCAAGGAACCTAAGCTATTGGTCCCTGCACATCACTTCTGACACTTCTGTTTGTGGTCCCAGGTGAGAGCTGCCGCACCGATGGGACGTTTGCCTACGACGCCGACTTGAGCTGCTGCAGCTCCTTGTGGGTATTGCCTCTGTCGGGGATGCCCCTACCCAAACAGGGCCACTCCTCTAGTGCACACGGGGGAAAAGGGACCGAACCCTGATTTGTGTGAAGGGTGGGATGTTAGCAGAGCTCCAGATAGACCCTGAGAGACCTAGAGAAGCCGGAACTCAGATCTGGGTTCCACAGAGGTCTTCAGGTCTCCTAGATTTAGTGACCTGCAGAGCCCAAAGTTACAGCTTATGCTGGAAACAACATTGCTTTACCTTAGCGTTGGCTCTGTATAATAGAAAACTCTGAGGTGGGTAGGCTTGCAATGACATAAACTGTAGCAAGAGTTCAGGGCTTCCTGGTCCTCTGGCCCCCAAGCCTGTCTTCTGGTTACAGCTTCCTCTTCACCATCCTCAGAGTGACCTCATGGTCTAAGCTGTAGCTGCAGCCATGCAACAGTGCACCAAGCGTCTCTATAGGGAGGATGGAGGCCAGTGAGTCCTTCAGCATCACCATGCATGCTTAGCATACCAAAAATCCTGGGCTCCATTCCTAGCAACACACACACACACACACACACACACACACACACACACACACACATCCCATCTAGCTTACACTTTAGTAATTGGAACTTGGCTGCTTGATCAGAACTAGCTGCAAGCAAGACTAGAAAATGGAGGCTAAAACAGCACTTAGGAGGTGAAAGCTGGAGGATCAGAAGTTCAAAACCCACTTCAATCACATAATGAATTTGAGGCTACTCTGGGCAGCATGAGATCATCAAAAGAACAAAAACAAACAAACAAACAAAAAAAAAAAACAAAAAAGAGTACACACTCTTGGCCAGGAAGCTATGTTGTCCTGTAGATAATAATAGAAAGTGATTTTGAAACAAGTTAAAAACCAAGCGAGGTAGGAGCCCAGAGTGAACATCCTATTTTAAAAGCAGTTAATAAAGAGAACTTTCTACGTGACTTGGAGGTGCTCCTGAGTTGAGAGACTGTTTGCCTAGCACATCAGAAACCCTGGTTCCAACCCCCATCACAACTTAAACCTGGCTTGGTAGCTCATGCCTGCAACCCCAGCACTTGGGAGGTGGAAGCAGGAAGATCAGAGGTCCAAGGCTAATCTCAGCTACACAGAGAATTTAAGGCCAGTTGAGGTCATGTGTGACCCTGTCAAAAACAAAACAAAACCCTCCACGATGAGCCAGGCAGCCTGGTTTACAGGAAGGACTCCAGAAGGAGAAATTAAGGGCCATACAATTTAGCACAGGAGACAACCTGCATTGAAGAGCAGCTTCCTGGGTTATGGGAGAGTCAGAATGGGGCCTTACTGAAGAACCAGGGGGGCTTCCCAGAACTGGTGATAGTTGAGCTGGGTATCAACTATCACAGAGAGTGAACGTAGCCACACAGGAACAGCAAGGATTCAGAACACACTCTTAGAGGCTCTGTGACTGTAACATGAGCTGGGAGAAAGTGGGGAGGAGAGAGGATTCTAGGCACAGGGAACAGCATGAGCAAAGGCCCCGATGGGTTAAGGAAGGCAGTATGACCAGAGTTCTGAGAGCAGGAGAGAGTTTCAATGATTCTGGGCCTCGTGAAGGGTCGTGGAGGGCAAGATGAGGTCTAGGAAGGGGCCTTGAGCCATGGTATATAGGCCCAACCAACTTTAACCTGCCCTAGGGAAAGGAACAGAGGTTGGTGAGGGTCTGTTCCTCCTGTCTCTGCAGCAATGGCTCCCAGGACACATTTGAAGCATGTTACAGCGGTGCATCCACACCATCTTTCCATGGCTCCCACTGCAGCAGTACCGACCACAGCAGCTGGGCCTTCGAGCAGCTGCAGGATTACATGGTCACGGTGAGTGGGGCTGCAGTGCTCCGCACAAGCATGGTGCATTGCAGGAATCATCTGTGAGAGCGCAGAGGCCAGGGAGGGAGGTGTGGTTAGGAGAGGCCGGCTTAGAAAAGCCTTGACTGGCATTAGCCAGCGCAGAACGCTCCAAGCATGTTTTTGTGCATTTCTGTCTTTGATTTTTTTTTTTTGACAACCCCAAGTCAGGGGGCTCCCTCCCTCCTCACCCTAAGTGTAGAGGAGGAAAGCAAGAGTCAGACCACAGAGTTGGTCACTAAAGGCTTGGGGCTCCGGAAGTTGGATACACATCCCATTCCTAGATGCAAAGGACCAGATGTTCTGCCAGTGGAGGCAGCCTGGACCAGGCGGGCTGCCAGAGAGAACTCCAGCATTTTCAGCAGCAGTTGAGTATTGTTGTGCTCTGGGACTGGTCTCCAAGGGTGCCCCTTACTCCCACAGCTGCGGAGTAAGCTGGGTCCCCCTGAGATCCAGCAGTTTGCAATTCTGCTCCGAGACTATCGCCTGGGGCTGCCTATCCAGGACTTCTGTGCAGGCCTGCAGAAACTCTACGGGGACCGACGGAAGTTCCTTCTCATTGGTAAGCAACAGCACCCTTTGGCTCCAGGCATCCCTAGCCCAGCACCACCTGGGAGGGCTTTGTTCTTCCAGCTCTTAAGGCCAAGACCTAGAGACCCTGGGACAGAGAAGGAGAGCAAGACTATCGAAAAGGGAAAGGAATTTCTGAGAACAGCTGACATGAACAAAGCCAGCAAAGCTGGGTCAGGTTGTGACCACATGTGCACACACGCGCGCACACGCGTACACACACACACACACACACACAGCCTGTGTGGGCTCAGTCTCAGAGAGGCAAAGGAAGTTGTCTAGAGTCACACAGCTAGTGGAGGGGAATTCATAAGCACCACAGGAATAATTTTGGCAGCAAACAAGATGTGTTTGGCGGTTATCATGATCTCATAGACTGTCCCCACTTCTGGGAAGTAATTACAGTTACTTTGTGCCCATTTGCATGTGAAGAAACTGAGGCTCAGAGTAGCAAAGTAAAGGAAGAAAATCAAAGAGCTAGAAAGGGCCAGGAGCAAATCCAATGTTTATGGGCCTCAACGTGGGAAGTAACTGTTGTTACATTTGCACCAAAACAGGTAAAAATCTCTCTTTTTACAGGTGAGGAAAGTGAGGTTTGAGTTAGTTATTTATTAAAGGCTGTGTAGCGAAGAAGTGGGAATATAACTCTAGGGATATACTAAGCTAGCAAATATGTGGGGAATCTTGTGTCATTTGCTGTTTCATGAGGTTAAAAAAAAAAAAAATCTTGGGTAAAGCCACACTGGCAGAGACAGGATTTGAACTCAGTCTTCCAGAGAGGGACACTCCACAGGCTAGCTGAATGAGGGAATCACCTTGCGCTGTGTCCTGTAGGGATGCGGCCCTTTATTCCGGACCAGGACATTGGCTACTTCGAGAGCTTCCTAGAGAGTGTGGGCATCCGCGAGGGCGGTATCCTCACCGACAGCTTTGGCCGCATCAAGCGCAGCATGAGCTCCACATCAGCCTCCGCAGTGCGCAGCTATGACGGGGCGGCTCAGCGGCCCGAGGCACAGACCTTCCACCAGCTGCTGACGGACATTACACACGACATCGAGGCTCTGGCCCCCGACGACGATGATGTCTATGAGGATGTCTCCCCAAGCGGGGGCGACCAGGGTGAAGACAACTACCTGTAACCCTGCTGCCCGCCTCAGGTCTTGCACAGTTGTTTGTGGGACACCCTCCTGCGAGTGCCTAGATAGCCTGGATTCCCATCTGTGCCTTTCTAGGCTTCTGTTCCTGCAGATGGATTTCCAGGGCTTAAATTTCTGCAATACCGAGAAAGTCCTGCAGGTGGCTTTACTCGAGGGAGAGCCAGACCCTAGAGTTCACTGCAGGATGAAGAATCGCTCCACCTACTGGCCGACAGGAAAGAATTCCAATTCAAGCCCCAGCTCTCTGCATGCCTCGTTCAACCTCAAACCAGGACCATTCCAGAGATCTCTTCGATTTTACAGGCTGAGAAACTGAGAGATTTTTTTGTTGTTGTTGTCCGAGTTTTTTTTTTTTGCTTTTTTTTTAAAGGAATGGATATCAGGGAATGCCCTTGTTCTTCTCAGATATCGCTAGCCATTTCCATATCTATACAATAATTTCCATTTCACTCTCCTCACATGTGGTCATGGGGATGAATGGAGGTCAAGACCTCACGACGTTTAGGTCAAGACCTTAGCCTAGCATGCAGAGGCCCAATAAATGCTGTTTCCTTCCAACCGGAATGTTTTCTGACTCAGTTTTCCTATCCTTCCTGGGAGCAGTGGGTGGAATGAGCTATCACAAAGACTGAAGGAGTTTCTAGCTTGAAGAATAAGTAAGACTGGCCTTCACAGTGGTCTCATAGCCTGGCCCTGTGCCCAAGTCCCAAACATGCACTCAGGACTCTGCAGGTGCTTACCCTGGAGCTGGGAAAGTCAAAGAACTATGCAGGCAGGCTCGGCTGTGATCTATGGAGGTTAAGACAAGGCCAGCCCTTGGCACCGCCTGAGTGAGGACAAGGAGCCTTGGGAGAAGGCCAGATACTTCAAGAAGAGATAAAAAAATGTGTCTGCAAAACCTTGCAAAGCCTTCCACGGCCAAATTCAGATCATGTGACCCCTGGGCCTGTGCTCCAGCTCCCTCTGGGTTTGTGGCCGGTGATCGTCCCCTCACCACTGGTTCACGCAAGGCTCTCTTGATATTCTGCTCCATCCCTCCCCGTCCACATTTTTCTCCACACCACAAACCCCATCCCTACAGTCAAAACTCATCCCTGTCCATACAACACACAATGCTGTGCCAGGAAGATTGCACTGTGAGCAAAGTGCCTACTGCGAAAGTATGGTGGCCTGAGTTCAGATCTCTAGCACACATGTAAAAAGACATGGTCCCATATGTCTTTAACTCTAGCTGGGGTTGCGGGTGCGGAGAGTAGCCACTAATCAGTAAGTGTGGGTGAGAGACCCTCAGCCCAGGACGATGGCTCAACTTGTAAAGCATTTGCTGCATAAACATGGCTACTTGAATTCCAGGCCCAGAACCCATATAAAAGTAGATGAAGGAAACCAGCCACACAGAGCTCTCTTCTGACCTCCACGCATGAGCACCGTGGCGTCATCACCACCACCCTGCACATACACATGCACAGACACTAATAATAATAATTTTTGCTTAAAAAAGAGAGACCCTTTATTACCAGGTAAGGCAGAGAGAGACTGAAGAAGACACTCAGCACTGACCTCTGATCTCCACCTACATGCAGTGGGTACCTACACACACACACACACACACACACACACACATAATGCAATGCTGTGTGCACATGAGCACAGCATCAGTGACATTGTATGGGTTCTAATTCTTCTTCGGCTTCCATTCATAAAGTCTATAATTTGGGTTGGATGGTCAGTGGTGTAGTATTTTGTTTTGTTCTTGTTTTTGGTGGGATCATGTTGTGTCACCAAGGCTGCAGCCAACTCAAGATTCTCCTGCCTCAGTCACTTGAGTGCTTGAATAACAGGTGTACGGCACCATGCCTAGCCCACTCCATAGGGTTTTTAAGATCCAAACATATTCTTGTGGGAAAATCTAGCTTATTGCATTCAACAGCTGCCAGATATTCCAAGTTAATCATTCCCTCTATTTCCCCATTCCCCTGATGATGGCCCCCAGTTTCCTTTCAACCTCTCATACTACAAACACTGCTATGATGAACATCTCTGTAGTCGGCCCTTGTGGACCCATGTGATGATTCCTTTGAGCTCTGCCAGGAGTGAAATTAGTAGATACCACACATATGTGTTTAAATTTCACAAAACCCTTCCAAAATAGCCCAGTCATAGCTTTCAAACAATGCTTTTGCCTTGTGCAATCATCTGTTTCCTTATAATGTCTGACTACAATTGTTCTCTATCAGTTTGGATGTGGCAACTAAACAGGACTCAGCCTCAAAATTAAAAAGTCTAAGAAATACTGGTGCTGTAAGGATTCCTACAGCTGGTAGCCTTTAAGTTACACGCCCATTTGGGCGTGGCCTCTTATACTGTAAATGCCGAGAAAAGTGCACGTTTCCTCTCTCTTCGGGCTGCGTGATCCCAGTTGCAGGATTCTGGTGCTGTTCTCTGTTCAAACAGAGGACTGTGATCTGTGAGTCTACCAATAAATAAATAACCCTTTATTATACTCAATTCTGAGCTAGTGTGAGATTTTTTTTTAGTGGCCGTCTTCATCTGACGTCCACGTGGATCCGAACTTCACACCTACCAGGTGGACCAGTCTAAAAGGCCTAAACGGTCCACAGCCCAGAAGGTCTCCCACCCTCACCTGCTTGGCTTGCTTTCACTTACTAAGTGATTTTTTGTAAAACTCCCACCACAGAGGAGCTAAGTGCACACCGCAACTTGGAAATTTCCCAAGCTCACACATATGTCCCCCCCCCCACTGCCATGTTCCCTGCCACACGGATTTGTCAGGTCCTCTAGCACAAGGTAATGCAGAAATTGATCAATTATTGATTGGTAGTGTGTTGAAGGTCTCAGAATTCCATAAGAAACATCATGTCAATAGCCAAGTTTTTTTTTTTTAAAAAAAAGAGTTTTCTATTACATAGTAACAAGCTAAGGAGATTATAAAGAGATGTCCTACTTGCTCTTTCTATAACCAAACACTGCTACCTGCAGGGAGTGACCCAAAGGGTACTCAAAGTAATAAAATCTGACAGATGGGTGTGTTCCACTTTGCAGAATTTGGAAAATTAAAATGTGTGCACCACACAATTTAAACTTATTCAGGTTTTCAATGGGCAACTGCTTTGAGCTCAGAAAAGGCTGATTCAGTAACCACACATTTATTAGAAGTTATGGCCATCATGGGTATACCTGTACAAATAAAGACAGATAATGGTCCAGCATATGTCTCTAAGAAAATGAAACAGTTTTTTGCTTATTATAATATAAAGCATATTACAGGTATACCAAACAATCCTACAGGTCAAGCAGTTATAGAAAGATTAAACTGAAATATAAAGGATATGTTTAAAAAAGGGATAGAAAATATCCCCAGAAATAAATTACATAATGCTTTATTAACCTTGAATTTTCTTAACGCTAATGTTAAAGGGACAATAGCAGCAGAGAGACATTCAATAATAGAAAAGTCTTCTGAATTAAATGAGCTGGTGTTTTTCAAGAATGTGTTGACCTCACAATGGAAGCCAGGAGACGTGCTACATTGGGGAAGGGGGTTTGCTCTTGTTTCAACAGGAGAAGAAAAGTTATGGATATCATCAAAATTAATAAAGATTTGGCTTGAAAAAGAAAAATCTCTTGAGAAAGAGAAATGATGGCTCATCCACAACGGTGACAACCAATCAGGTGGGAAGGAAACCTCAATAGGGTTTGGGCAGGGTTCTGTTCTTGTCTTTGCAAGAAAATACTCATCTTCAGAAAGTCAAGAGACCTAGAGGCCTAAAGAGGAAAAGATAATTATCCAGAGATGATCACCAAGCAAAGAGAGTTAAGACTTATGAGGACAGGCCATCTGAGAGTAAGAATCTCTAAACATAAACTAGAATAATAGTCATGACTCACTTAAAAATCAAAGCCAGATTTGGAGTTGGACAATGGTTCTGTCTTTCTCTATACCGAAGCATGTTGTTAAAATAAAAATTCAGAGTTTCTCATGTCAGGAGCCATGGTATAGGACAGAAAGAAGAGAGAATTTAGGAAAAAAATTTACTTTTATTTATACCTATTTTTGTCTCTATCATACCTTTCATTGAATATATGTCTATATAAATAATATTTAAGTTTTCTACAATGAACAATGAATTTTTTTGCAGAAATCTTTGGAGTTTCCAGGAAGAAGATGGGGTCTCACAACAACAACTCCACCTGGTTGATACGACGTTACGATGCTGATAACACTACTATAAGACCTGTTTAGATACCAGCTGCTCAAGATGGTTCCAACTTGGTTAGCTGATATGGTGCACTTTTTTACAATGGTCTGGCCAGAACTCCAAATTGGAACCTCAGAAAAACCCTACCAAATACTCAGAGACTATTTGCATTTATACCAGACAGTAATTTTGAAACTTAACCATCATTTTACTTTCACAGTATCCCATAGAAAGAACATCCCCCCATGACAGCTGGAAGTAATTCTAGAAGACAATGTCCCCTCTCCAAACAAAGTTTGTCTTCAGAGTTAGGGACATCATTTAGAGGTTGATTATAATTGGTATAAGGTTGGGGATTTGGGGGAAATTATGAAGGCTCAGGGATCTCTTGGAAAAAAAGGGAAATTGGTTGGGATAATAGATTAGTGCTCACACTAATAATAATAGTGAGTAATAGAATGAATACTTGTGAGCTATTATTTATAGGCAATATTTATATTTATAAACTATAAAATATATTTATAGTTTACATTGGCAAAGATTCTTGTATATTGATACAAACTTAAGTTATATTGAACATGTTTCTATTTTCATCTACAATATTTGTATACCTAGGCAAAGTTATTTTGTCATATTGTATGCATGCATACTTCTACCTCTGCTTCTATCACTATACATTTTGTATATTGACATAATTTTAGAATATATTTATCATATTGCAATATACATTTCTACATCTGATCAAGTTACTTATACATTGTTTACATTTTGAGGCCATTGTCCTCATTTGTTGTGCAGTTGTTTAAAGATTGTTTAATATTCTAATATGAAGTCTTAGTCTTTAAGTTATATGGGTATTAAGAATTATAGGTCAATAGTCATCCATGTTTGTCATACTTATAGTTAGACTAATCAGGTTCTTTAGATACATAGAGATTGTATTCTGCATAGATAGATAATCTTCAACCACTTCAAAGAGCTGTAGAATATGGCATTTAAATAACTTAGGGTTCTGCTGACATGAGACATGATTGCTCCTGGCAGTACCAATCTATTCCTGAGAGAGTGTTGAGCACTGAAGACACTCCACTTGGAGCTTGTTTTCTTCTTGGCAAAACTGGCCTTTAGGCAAGGAACTGCCCATACACTGACCACTGACAAAATGCACAATGCTTGGACAGGACAAACAAGATACAAGAAAAAAGACTGTCAAATCTTGCCAAGACAGGGTAAGACGGTTTTGAAAATTTTCCTGCCTCTGGAAATGGTCTGTCAGTTACTCTAGGCCTTAGCCAAAGTTGGTTGCTCCAACATTGCAAATGAGACTTTGGGTGATTGTCCAGT